TTAGTCTATTTCTGTCCTGTATCTATGCTTTGTTTTTGTTTGTTTGTTTGTTTGTTTTTGTTTTTGTTTTTTAGATTCCACATATGAGCGATCTCATATGGTATTTTTCTTTCTCTAGGCCATGGGAATTATAGAATGATACAACAGCTTATTGAAACAAGAGCTTCAAGCTAGTGCAATACCACCAACTGTGGCGGGATGAACCAGAAGGTTATGGGATGTCCTGTGAACCTTTAATGAACACAGCTGATGCAGTGGCCCAACTCCAGTAGAAGCATTTCTCCATTACGCCACTGCACCCACACAGGCCCCAGTCCAAACAAAGGATATTTTGCTGAAACCTGGATTTGACAATAAGGTAATATACTGCTGCCAGTGCTGACCTGACTTGAGAAGGGGCAGATCCTAATGTGTCCTTGGCCTTGGGCTATTCAAGCCCCCTACATGCATGGGTAGCCCTTAGAGCACAATGGGGGCCTGAACTAGAAGCTAGTTTACAAGTAACCCTGTGGGTTACAGGACAGTGATCTCCCAGGGCACAGGTAACCCACCCAGGGGTTGCAAACTGAGCCACTATACTAAAAGGGAATTTTGTGTTCACCGTGTAGCCTATTATGGGTTCTCCTCTGTTGTTGCATATTGAACCTGCAAAAGCCTCTCTTTTGGCTAAGTGAGTGGTGTGCCTTTCCAGGAAGGCTGTTGCTCCCAGCCACTGTGTTATCAGCTGACAAGACATTGGCACATATCTCGCCTGAGGCATAGGACATGCCACTGCTTGTACCTCCAACATCCCTCTCTTTTCACCCTTAGGTTTGTTTGAATGAACACCCTAGTTGATTGGGCTCACACTTACATGACACTTGTTAATCAATTTACTTGCTGAATCTGCATTGAGTTGCCTGTTAGTGCCTCAATGGGCTCTCATGGAAAATTAAAGTAACCACTGAGGCTAATTGGACCTGGTTAAGAATGTGGAATAGCACTAAACCACAATGAAGCTTAACCAAGGAAAAGATACTTGCTGGGGTGAGAGATCATATGAATCACTCTTGCCCCTGGATGGGATATTCCATATGGGATGGTCTCAGCTGGTTGACAGCTGAAATATTAGAGTCTCTTGCACCCATTCCCCTCTGCACTGAGAGTTTAAAAGGAAGGGCCCATGCAGGATGGATCCCATCTGGCCTATGCAATAATGTCACTCAAGTTAAAAAGAAGAAATGGGGAAAGAGGAGTGGTGTCTTAGCCTGACCTGACCCTTATGGGAGACTTTAGGTCTGTTGGCAATATGACTTTCTGTATCTCTCCCACAACTGGGCCAGCCAATAATGTACATGGGAATGGCCCTTTCTCTCTGCCTAGGTACTGTAACTTTGCAAACATGCCCAATTAATTGGGGAACACTTAGGGCATGCCACAGAGTACATACCCCTTGGTGGTATTACCCCTTAGCCCCTTTTCCCCCTTGTAGCCACCATAGTGACAGAAACAGAGATCACTGCTTTAGCTGTGCACATGGCCAGGGCATTCAATGATATCCATAACACTCTGGGCATTCTTAACGATCAGGTATATCAGCTGTGAAAGCTAGCTTTGGAAAACCATTTGGCACTTGATATTTTGGCAGCCCAGAGGGTGAGGTGTGTGCCTTTGTAGGATCTGACTACTGTGCTTATTTTCCAGATGCTTACCATAATTTTAGCCAGGCTCTGATGGCATTGGGGAAAGAGACAACAGCTATTGAACTCCTGACCAGAGAACACCTGTAAGAATCGTGGGTATCACTGACCTCTAAATGGCACTTGATAATAGCCAATTTTGGGGGGATCTGCTTTTATATTAGTGGCCTGCTGTTGCCATCTCTATTGCTGTTGTGGTTTATGGATGCAAGGATCCACTTTTCTCAGAAGACACTGCAGAGAATGTAAAACGAGTAACCCTGAAGGGATGGGGTGTAGGGAAAATGGAGTCACTCAGGCTTCCTCATTAGACATCCAGTGCCCAGTGACTCAGCTATGTTATCCCATATGCATAGTACCCATGTAGTGTTATATAAGCATGATTTGCACTACACAAGTGCACTTGTTAGCTCTTAGGTAATAGTCAGCTAGATGCCGGCTTTGTTTGCCTTGATATATAAGATGGACAGGATTTTCTGCTGCCACCACCATTATCTCTTGTCTACTCCTCCACAGTAAAGGCATGTCAGATATACCTACAGTATGCCTAAATCATGAGTGAACCTGCCAGGTCTTGAGCACTTGTAATACAGCCATCAATTTTGGCTTTGAGGATCCCTTAGCTCATTAATCACAGCCACATTACTTTACCATTATATAGGAACTGCACAGTTTGTATTTTGGCTTACTAGAGTTTAACTCACACAGTAGTGCCTTTTTTTAAGAAAAGTTCCATCTTTATCCAGGTTGCTATGTCTCACTATCATAATAGTATCTTTATATTTCTGAACAGTTTTTAAACACAAAAGTGCTTGATTGTAAGAATTTATGTAGTTGTTTTTTTTTTTATTCCCCAGTAGGTTCACTTCATTGGAATTTTAAACCCAATCCAGAGGCAATAAATTTCAAAATACTATTTAATAACTTATCTTTGGTTTCATATGGGAGTTTGGATATCTCAGGGATATTTCCTCAGTAGTGACAAATATGTCTTATTGTAGTCCATGCTCAATGCCAATAACTCTAAGGCATTTTCTTGTTTTATCTGAATAAATCTAAAATTATCACAAGAGGTTACAGGAGGCCCAGAGCTGTGAAATACCCCAGATTTCTTCCTTTACAAGTATTATGCATTCTTCTTCTTTATCTCTCAATGATCCAAAGTTTTAAATGTACTCTGATTTTCAATCTGTAACAGTCATGAATTTCTTCTTTTAATTTTGTTACACCTCTGTAAGTTTTGTCAGATGGAAAGGGGAAGAGACTAGGCCAAAAACTTATGTCCACTGAGGATATATCTTAGTACTAGTATTTATAATGGGGAACACCTGAGTTGAAAGCCAGACGGTAAGAAAGTGCCACTGCTAAGACAAGCATTAACAACAAGTACACCATTTGGTATTTGAACCATTTTCTAGTACTGAATCAGTAGTCATTGCTCCAATTCCACCTCAATAAAAGTCAACAAAAAGCTGGACCTCTTATTGCCAATTGTCCATGAAATTGGTGTACATGCTCACTACTGAATTTCAGGGACCCCGGGTCCTATAAAATACCTAACAGACCCTCATTATTCTTCTTCAAAGCATTATGTCTCTGTGAGCATCCTATTCTTCACACCAAAACTGTCAAAAATGTCAAGAGTCTGAGATTTTACAGTACTTGCTAGCTAACAAATTAGCCTGCCATGATTTCATATATGCTGGCACAGAACATACAACTTCAGAGATGAAGGACTATATTAGAGCACAGAAAGCAGCATGAAAATCAACATGGGATTTCTAACCAGATCTCTTGTGCAAAGAAATATAGGCCCAGATAGATGCGTGTACATATATACATATGTACATATAGATCATTTACATATAAAATTTATTTAATTGTTTATTATGCCTCAGTTATAATTTGATTGAGGCTCTTAGGGATAAAATATTTGAAAAGATAGTGTTTTAAGTTATTAGGAAATTACATAGTATATAGAGCATAAGAATAGCAGATATATAAGTAAGCAATTTTTCAATTTCCTTGAGTTTTACATACATGGATTGAAATATGTACTAGATTCATCCTTAACTCTGACCACTATGTTGTGCCTTTCCAGGTGATTCCTAAAACACTTGGATTTATGAGCCCTTGAACCATACCAATATGATCAATCTTTCTACCCCAATGGCTTCAACTTTCCCTCATGGCTTTATATCCTCTCCCTCCATTCTCCTCTTCCCCTACCAAAGTCTTGACTTTCTCCACTTTTCTTACTTAGTAAAACCATTTCTTTGGTGAAATATAATTCTCCTTAAATTCTTTGTAGTAGTATTTGACTAAAGTACACTACAGAAAAAATTATACTTGATGGCTTGAACCTCAAACACACCTTTAATCTTGTTAAATAATTAAAATATGTCTGCAGAGTTCAATCACTCCCCTTCTCCTGGGTGATTATTTTAAAACTCTCTTGTCTCCTCAAATATTCAAAACTTCCTTTCCTATCTAGTTCTTAGCTTATCAGTTTGCATCCATCATTTATCTTATCATGTTTATTATGGTCATCATGTCTATCATAATAATAGAACCAAAAATAATTTTTCAGAACAAATCTTCATTTTTGTCCCACATAGTTTAATTTCTTCTTCTTTGATACAATTTCTTTGATTGTATTGAATATTAAATAGTATTAATCATTCATAGCAATAATTTAGTTCATTTATTCTTTTATTATAATGATATAGACTAAATCATTTAGTAAATGAAACTTAAATAGTAAACCAAAAACAATAATTAACTAAAATTATGTAGGAATTGTCTTAGAGTATATATATATATATATAGCACAATGATAAATAGTAATTTATATACAATATAAAAATATACTTTTAGTATTCCATTGTATAAATATACCACATCTTCTTTAACCAGTCATCTGTTGATGGATATTTAGGCTGTTTCCATGTCTTGGCTATTGTCAATAGTGCTGCTATGAACATTGGGGTGCAGGCTTTTTTTGTGAAGTAGAGTTCCTTCTGGATATACGTCCATGAGTGGGATTTCTGGTTCATATTTATTCCTAGTCTTTTGAGGAATCTCCATATTGTTTTCCACAGTGTCTGCACCAAACTGCATTCCCACCAGAAGTGTAAAAGGGTTCCCTTTTCTCTACAGCCTATCCAGCATTTGTCATTTGTGGACTTTTGAAAGATGTCTATGCTGACTCGTGTGAGGTGATACCTCATCACAGTTTTGATTTGCATTTCATTGATAATTAGTGATATTGAGCATTTTTTCATGTACCTATTGATCATTTGTATTTCTTCCTTGGAGAATTGCTTGTTCAGGTCTTCTGCCCATTTTTGGATTGAGTTGTTTGTTTTTTTCTTATGTCATATAAGCTGCTTATACATTCTGGAGATCAAGCCTTTGTTTGTTACAGCCATAAAAGATGACAACTTAACACCATTTGCAGCAACATGGATGTTCCTGGAGAATTTCATTCTAAGTGAAGTAAGCCAGAAAGAGAAAGAAAAATACCATATGAGATCACTTATATATGGAATCAGAAAAAAAAGAACATAAATACAAAACAGAAACAGACTCAATATTGAGAGTTTTTTCCCACTACAAATGGAATGATGAGAAACTTGAACAGGACTCAATTCTATAATTTTTATTATGAACATATCAAGAGAAATGCTGTCTGCTGAAGTTCTTCTAAATTCTAAATATAGTTTACACTGAGACAAAATTAATCAGTTTAATGACTGTGTTATTAATCCAAATAACTTAAATATGATCAAGATGTTTTAAAGATTTAAAAATAGTATAATTTAATTGATAATGCCCAAAGCCACAATTTGAAGTAAAAACTAAATGTGGCTCCAGAAAAACTTAAGGGTAATTTTGTAATATTATATGAGTTAAAAATAATAACTGAAAGTATATTGATACTGGGTTGCCTATGATCCTAGGCCCAATTTCAGCTGATAGAGCTAGTAAACTCAACTGAATTAAAATCACACAACATTAGAGTTGTGGGTTAAGTTTTATTGGCAACAAAATGAAGACTGTAGCCTGGGAGACAGCATCTCAGTTCTAAGAAAATGTTCCAAGGAAGCAGGAGGAAAACTCAGTATTATATATGATTTTACTGAAGATGGGTAAATACAGTCAAGTACATGTTTAGGTAGAGGCTTGCTGCTAGTCACAAGTAGAAGATGTCACTGTTAATAATTTTATTGCTTTTCTAGATATGAGGAGATGCAAGAAACTGGGCTCATAAACTCTTTTCCTGAAAATATCTAACCTACCAAAGACCTGTTCAGCCAGATTTCCCAGAGCACGGAATGTCTGATTCCCTATATCCATCCTGAATTCCTTGCAGGATGTGCTGTTGGTCAGCAGCTGCAGTGGCTCATGATTTAATCCAAGCACAGTTAGATGGCAAGGGCCATCATGGTCCAGTCTTGCAGAGGGAAATGCCAAATTTTAGTTAGCAGGGCCCCTTCATAGTTATAAATTTGATGACAGTTTGGGAGGCATTTCATGACCATGTTTTCCCACAGTGCTAGGAATGCTTATTCCTAGGTCAGGTGATGATTTCATTGATAGGCCACTCAATGAGCTATTATGGGACTAGGCTTTATTAACAGAAGGAAAAATTCTCTGGACCACCTGTCTTTTGAGGAACACCAGTGTGTTATGGTCAAGGAAAATATTCCCCCTTATTGCTTCTTCCCATATCTGGAGTTACACTATTACAATCATTGGTCTCATATTGAATATACCTGATCCACTGCTTCAAGTCTCCTAGTCATTATTTTATCAGAGGCTCAGTCACACATTTGGTAATGTAAGAAGCAACAATTTTGTAAAACAGGAAAAATGCAAATAATATGGTTAACAATATTAGGTCATAAGTAAGAATTTTAGTCAAGAACTTCCATTAGTTGTGGCCCAGTGTATCCCCAGGTCATCTGACTTAGTCTGTTTTGTACTGATCCTTACCATTAAGGAAGATGTTACACAGGCATTGTTCATAAGGCATCCAGCCAAATTTCCTAGTATTATTAGTTTGATTATCCTTAGTATAGTTTAATTTTTTTTCCAAAATAAACTTAATTTAAATTTAAATGACCATAGCCTGGTGTTAACCATATAGGCCCTTCCCATAATTGAGGGAGGTTATTTTCTTTGCCTGAAATTTTACTTGTTGCCTTGATTGAGCTTAAGTATTCTTATAAGAAAATTCATATGTATGGCCAGGCTCAGATCAGGTATTATTAAATAGTTAGGTGAGGGGACCCACCTAGTAATATTAGTAGTGGCCTAAATAAAACTATAATTTCTTTGTTTTAGAGTAAATTGTCTAAGGGTTATCTAGTTAAAGCCTTGGAATGGGGAACCTCAACAACCCTCAGTAACCCAAAAGTACTGGATATATATAATTGACCATAAGCCTAACAATTGGATTAATTTTAACTCTACATAAGATTGGAAATACGTTTAGTTCATAAGTGAAGTTGTGAGCAATTATCAAAATAATTGGTATAGGCCTGGCCTGGTATCTTGGGTCAGCTGTCTATCTCAGATGTTGTCTTCTTCTCATCTTAATCTGGTAGCTTCTCCTTTGTTTGAGCATTGTTTTTGGGTGATTTTGAAGTCAGCAGCCCTCTCTATGGGCCAGTCCAGTGCAGAGGCACTTTGTAAAAGGGAATGTTAACCGAAGATTCAATTCCCTTAAGTTTCACTGTATGAGCTACTTAAGAGTATCTGACAAAGGTTCTTCCATCTAGGTTGGAGATACTTCTTAAATTGTGTCTTTTCTTGGATGCATAATCTCCTGGTTGCAGGTCATGGGGTATCAGATCTTTATCCAAAAATAGATTTGTGAAATAAGCTTCAGAAACAAACTTAGAATATCCTTTAAATAATTCAATTGAACTTTATAATAAATAAAAAAAAAATAGCAAGGAACTATCTGGGAAGTGAGTCTTAGGCTGTAAATACAATCCTCCATTAACAAAGCTAAGATGCAATATTCACTGAAACATGATTGCTTTCTCTCTAAAATTACCCTCATTTTTATCAAATACAATCAAATCAAAATTAATTAGTACACAAATTGTCTGATTATTTGATCATATATGCTTTTTTAAATTGGCTGTGCCAGAATGCTTCTTTTTCTTTCCTTTCTTTATTGAAGTATAGTCAGTTTGCAATGTTGTGTCAGTTTCTGGTATACATCATATTGCTTCAGTCATACATGAATATACATATATTCATTTTCATATTTTTTCCACCATAAGCTACTACGAGATATCAAATACAGTTCCCTGTGCTGTACAGTATAAACTTGTTTATCTATTTTATATATGCCAATCAGTATCTGCAAATCTTGAACTCCCAGTTTATCCCTTCCCACCCACTTCCCAATGATAATCATAGTTTGTTTTCTATGACTGTGAGTCTGTTTCTGTTTTATATATAAGTTCATTTTTCTTTTTTTTAATATTCCAAATATGAGTGATATTATATGGTATTTTTCTTTCTCCTTCTGGCTTATTTCACTTAGAATGACATTATCCAGGGCCATCCATGTAGCTGCAAAAGACACTACTTTATTAATTTTTATTACTGAGTAGTATTCCATTGGATAAATATATCACAACTTCTTTATCCAGTCATCTGTCAATGGACATTTAGAATGTTTCCATGTCTCAGCTATTGTAAATAGTGCTGCTATGAACATTGGGGTGCAGATGTCTTTGAATTAAGGTTCCCTCTGAATATATGCTCAGGAGTGGGATTGCTAGATGAGATAGTAAGTCTGTTTAGTCTTTTGAAGACTGTCCATACTGTTTTCCACAGTGGCTGCACCAAACTGCATTCCCACCAACAATGTTGGAAGGTTGCCTTTTTCCCACACTTTCTCTATTATTTATTGTTTGTGGACTTTTGAATGATGGCCACTCTGACTGGTGTGAGGTGATACCTCATTGTAGTTTGATTTGCATTTCTCTGATAATTAGTGATATTAAGCATTTTTTTCACGTGCCTATTTGTCATTTGAAAGTCTTCATGGGAGAATTGCTTGTTTAGATCTTCTGCTCATTTGTGGATTGGGTTTGTTTTGTTTTCTTATTAAGTCGTATGAGCTGTTAATATATTCTGGAAATTAAGCCCATGTCAGTCTCATCTTTTGCAAACATTTTCTCCCATTCCATAGGTTGTTGTTTTGTTTTGCTTATGATTTCCTTTGCTGTGCAAAGCCTTCTAAGTTTAATTAGGTCCCACTTGTTTATTTTTGCTTTTATTTCTATTGTTTGAATAGACTTCCCTAGGAGGACATTGCTCAGATATATGTGAGATAATGTTTTGCCTATGTATTCTTCTAGGAGATTTATTGTGACTTGTCTTATGTTTAAGTCTTTAAGCCAATTTGAGTTTATTTTTGTGTATGGGGTGAGGGAGTGTTCTAGCTTCATTGATTTACATGCTGCTTTCCAATTTTCCCAACACCATTTGCTAAAGAGACATCCTTCATTCCATTGTATGTTCTTGACTCCTTTGTCAAAGGTTAATTGACCAAAATTTTGTGGATTCATTTCTGGACTCTCTATTTTGTTCCATTGATCCATATGTCTGTTTTTGCACCAATATCATGCTATTTTGATTACTGTAGCTCTAGAGTATTGTCTGAAGTCTGGGAGAATTATTCCTCCAGCCTCTTTCTTTTTCTTCAGTAATGTTTTGGCAATTCTAGGTCTACAGTGATTCCATATAAATTTTAATATGATTTGTTCTAGTTCTGTGAAAAATGTCCTAGATAATTTAATAGAGATTGCATCAAATCCGTAGATTTTCTTAGGCAGCATAGCCATTTTAACAACATTTATTCTTCCAATTCTGGAATAGGGGATATAGTTCCATTTCTTTATGTTTTTCTTTAATTTCCTTAATCAATCTTTTGTAGTTCTCCATGTATAAGCATTTCACCTCCTTGGTTAGATCTATTCCTAGGTATTTTATTACTTCGGATGTGATTTTAAAAGAGATTGTTTCTTTAATTTCTTTTCCTGTTGATTCATCATTAGTGTAAAGAAATGCAACTGATTATTGTGCATTAATTGTGTACCCTGCTAACTTGATGAAATATTTATTAGTTCTTGTAGTTTTTGTTTGTAACTTTTAGGGTTTTCTATATATAGTATCATGTCATCTGTATATAGTGACAATTTTAACTCATCTTTTCCAAGTTTGATCCCTTTTATTTCTTTCTCTTGCCTGATTGCTGTGGCTAGGACTTCCCAAACTATGCTGAATAGAAGTTGTGAGAGTGGACAACCTTGTCTTGTCCCAGATTTTAGTGGGAAGGTTTTGAGTTTTTCATCATTGAGTACTATGCTGGCTGTAGGTTTGCCATAAATAGCTTTTTTATGTTGTGATATGTTCTCTCTATACCCATATTGGTAAGGCTTTTTATCATTAATGGGTGTTGAATTTTATCAAGTGCTTTTTCTGCATCTATTGAGATGATCATGTGGTTTTTGTGCTTTCGTTTGTGGA